GTGTCCTGGTCTGTCTGGAGCACATGGCTGTCAGTTGGTAATTATGTTTGCCATGTGCTCTATTGTCTATTGTTACCCCGCCCCTCTCGTTACCTTATCTCGTTAGGGGTAACACCTGTTTCTGATCATTAGTCGCCCTTATATTCCCCTCTTGTTTTCTGTCCTGTGCCAGATCAAAATCGCTGCTCTCCTGAGTTAACCTGGCTCTTGTTGCTGTTGACTGTTATCCTGTTTTGTTTTGTCTAGCCTAGTTTCCTTTGCTTTTATTTTACTTTTGATATTAGGGTTTTTCTTTTGATCTAGCCCAGTTCTTTCTAGTTCCTAGTTTTAGCTCCAGCCGTTTAGTTTTGTTTTTGTTTTTTCTCTGCCCTCTCCAGCCCCCCGTCTGCCCTGGCTGCTGGACTCCCTTCTGTCTGCCTCCTTCCCCTCACTGCCCAGTGTTCCCTGCTCCCTCTTGGAGTTCCTCTCCCTCTCCCTCCCACCATCGCCATTCTCTGGCCCCTGGAATTATTTGGAGAGCTGGACTGTCTCGTTGCTCGTGGACTGTTACTCGTGGCCATTTGCTCTGGAAACCCCCTTTTCCTAGATACCTGCTGTTGAGCTGACTTTCTCTTCCCCGGACCTGGTTGGGATCTCTCCAGATTACCCTCTCGGACAGTGGCTTCATTCCTGTTTGTTTTTGAATCTCAATAAAATCCTTGTTATCCCTGCAACTGATTCCTCTTCCTTTACCACCCCTGACAGTTCGATCTGGCCAGCATGGAATCAGCGGGGTCGGACTAGATCCGGGTAGCTGTCGTCCAGCAGGGGGTGCTGCTTGGTCAACATGCCACACGGCTCACGGAAACTACTAGAGAGGTAGATGTCATGTCCTCTCAAGTTACTGAACTCACTAACCAAGTCCAGGAGTTGATGCGGGGCCAGGATAGCCTTTGGGCTACAGCCTTTGCGGCTGCGTCAGCTCCTGTTCTTGCCCGGACAGCTCCAGAACCTAGAGTGCCTACTCCGCCGCCTTATGATTGGGATCCTAGGGCTTGTCGCCCGTTCCTGTCCCAGTGTGCTATCACGTTTACCCTGCAGCCCACCATCTTTGCTACCGAAGCGGCTAAGGTCTCATTTGTTATTACCCTACTCACTGGGAAGGCCAGAGAGTGGGGAACTACAGTCTGGGCGAAAGAAGCTCCTAATACGAAACTTAAATCATGTTTCACGTCTGCACCTGTCTTGTCTGTTCCAGACCCTGATCTGCAGTTTATTGTGGAGGTTGACGCTTCTGAGCTTGGGGTTGGGGCGGTCCTCTCTCAGCTGCCCAAGGATGTCAGACAGTTCGTGGCTGCTTGCTCGGTTTGCACCCAGAACAAGACTTCTAAAAAGCCTCCCATTGGTCTGCTGTGGCCTTTGCCCATCCCCACCCGCCCCTGGTCCCATATTGCCCTGGACTCTGTTACTGGCCTCCCCTCCTCCAGGGGCAATACCGTGATATTGACGATTGTGGACCGTTTTTCGAAGGCGGCACACTTTATTCCCCTAAGCAAATTGCCCTCTGCTAAGGAAACTGCTCTGGTGGTAGTCGATCACATCTTCAGGATTCATGGTCTTCCCAAGGACGTGGTCTCTGACAGGGGGCCCCAGTTCGTTTCCCATTTTTGGAAGGAGTTCTGTCTGATCGTCGGTGCTTCTATGTGTCTCGTGTCAAGCCTGTCATTTCTTCCCGTTTGAACCCAGGTGTGTCTGCTCCTTCACACACCTGGGTCCCCCCCGTCTCATTGACGGTTCCCCTGTGTTCTCTGTTAGGAGGCTAACAGAGTACCTAACCAGTACCTTGTTGACTGGGAAGGGTATGGTCCTGAGGAGAGGTGCTGGGTGCCGTCCCGGGATATCTTGGACCGCTCCTTGATCGAGGATTTCCACCGCCAACAGGCCTCCTCTGTTCCTGGAGCGTCCGTGGTCGCTCCTGGAGGTGGGGGTACTGTCAAGGCACCGGTCTGATCTGGGTTTGTTTATGTTGTGTCCTGGTCTGTCTGGAGCACATGGCTGTCAGTTGGTAATTATGTTTGCCATGTGCTCTATTGTCTATTGTTACCCCGCCCCTCTCGTTACCTTATCTCGTTAGGGGTAACACCTGTTTCTGATCATTAGTCACTCTTATATTCCCCTCTTGTTTTCTGTCCTGTGCCAGATCGAAATCTCCGCTCTGCTGAGTTAACCTGGCTCTTGTCGCTGTTGACTGTTATCCTGTTTTGTTTTGCCTAGTTTCCTGTGCTTTTATTTTACTTTTGATTATTAGGGTTTTTCTTTTGATCTAGCCCAGTTCTTTCTAGTTCCTAGTTTTAGCTCCAGCCTTTTAGTTTTGTTTTTGTTTTTTCCCTTCCCCTCTGCCCTCTCCAGCCCCCCATCTGCCCTGGCTGCTGGACTCCCTTCTGTCTGCCTCTTGCCTCCTTCCCCTCGCTGCCCAGCGTTCCCTGCTCCCTCCTGGAGTTCCTCTCCCTCTCCCTCCCACCATTGCCATTCTCTGGCCCCTGGAATTATTTGGAGAGCTGGACTGTCTCGTTGCTCGTGGACTGTTACTCGCGGCCATTTGCTCTGGAAACCCCCTTTTCCTAGATACCTACTGTTGAGCTGACTTTCTCTTCCCTGGACCTGGTTGGGATCTCTCCAGATTACCCTCTCGGACAGTGGCTTCGTTCCTGTTTGTTTTTGAATCTCAATAAAATCCTTGTTATCCCTGCAACTGATTCCTCTTCCTTTACCACCCCTGACAGTGTTACCTTGGCGACGCAAGAGTTCGTGACGGTGTCATTCTGTAAACATCAGAGCGTTCCGGAGGATGATGACATCATACAGAAAGATAAAAGAGCATTTGCTGACAGTATACTATAGTAACTTTAAAAATACTGTATTATACTAGAAAAAAACGTTCAAACGGAAATACATCTATACCTCGCCGTGTTCGAATCAGTTCGGCCCAATGATGTGACCTGTGTAGATCGATTCATGGACAAATGACTCGTATGAATTGATTCTCTTGATGAATCATTCAAAAGACTCGGGAGTTAAATCAATCTAAGGAATTTCTGACGAACCATTTAACAAATGAACTTGAATCCGTCAGAGTGGCAAAAAGAATCAACATATGACTCAAATACATATGAAAGACTCAAGTGCAGGTTCAGTGTCATTGTAGCAATACTTCAATATTCATCAGGATTAGCTTCTCTTATTTGTACTGTTACAAAAAGCAATCATGTATTCATACAGTCTTGTTTTTGTTCTCATTCTTTATGATCAGTTTTATGGCTTATCATAAGGCTTATGGTTATGCAATGAAATCTGAAAAAAAAAAAAGTTAACTGATGGAATAAATTATATATTTTTTTTACTTCTAATAATATAATATTTCTGGTCATTTTTACGCATAATTACTCCAGATTCATTTTGATTGCATTGTAACAGCAAATCAAGTAACTTATAAAGGTGAACAGACCCTCAGCTGTAGAATTTACACATGCTTTGAATTTCCATGAAACTCTTTGACAGTTTCCTTATTCAAATTGAAATCAACGCTTAGAAAAACAGAAGAAGCTTACATAATAGCAACCTGACAATCAGAAAGTAAAATGTCGCTCATTGAGATGCCACGCCAAAAGGTTCTTAAGGTAGGAAACATGATATGCTATAACATCTGTGCTTTTAAGCTGAAGCATGTTTGTTTCTTTGGAGGTTGAAATCTGATGCACATTCTCCTGTCACTCGTTTTTTGTGTGTAATTGCAAAATGCTAGAAGTCTCATTCAACACGAGTCAAGTTTAAACAGCCCTGCGTTTGGCTTACATTTCTTAAAACGCTGCAAGGCCCGAATTTGTGCCATAATTGTGTTTCAGATTTTTTTCTTTATATAATACCTGGCAAGAACTGAATGATCATCATCAAATTAGGCACTTTGTTGCACTATGCAAGCCAAACAAAAATGTGCATTAATATGAGGCTTATACGGGAAAATTAAGAAATTCTGGTAGTTTCTGACCTGTGCGTATGTGATAAAACCCAAAACAGCTACTAAATATTTTTGCATTCACTTCCTAATGATTAATACTGTGTGCAATTTATACATATTTTCATGCATTATTACTGTGACAGATTTAATTGAAGTAATGAAACCTTTTTATGTATAATGACTCAAATTTCTATCTGATCCTCACACAAAGCTATCATATGGCTTCTGAAGGCTCATGAAGATCATGCATGAACTACAGTTGTCCATTTCAGCTGTACTTTTCATTCTTTTTCGAAACGAAATAGCCTTGACAATCACTACACTGCAAAAATTATTTTGAGGTTGTAAATCAAACAAAGATTCATGGAATAGGGTTTACTCCAAAATGTAATGTTTAATTCAGTGTATTACTTGCCATTTCTTAATAATTATTTGTGATATTTACTAGCAATTTTTGAATGAAATTTGTTTTTGCAGCATTTTTCTTCTGTGCATGACAACTTACATTTTTCCATTATCAAAACAATAAAAAGTTTAATTTGTATTAAAACAACTGTTTTAGCCATTATTCAACAGTATTGAATAATGCAATGCAGCTTTTGGCTTCACAAGACGTTAATCGAGTGGTGTGGATTATTGTGATGTTTTTATCAGCTGTTTGGACTCTCATTCTGACGGCACCCATTCACTGCAGAGCATCCATTGCTGAGCAAGTGATGTAATGCTACATTTCTCCAAACCTGATGAAGAAACAAACTCATCCACATCTTGGATGGCCTGAGAGTGAGTACATTTTAAGCAAATTTTTATTTGAAAATGAACTACTCCTTTAAACTGATATGTTGGTTAGCCACATCAGAATCAAAGGAAATACATACAAAATCCTGATAGACAAATCGGTTACGTTGGTTTTCATTTAACCAACCATGAAAGTTGATCTCATAATGTCCCATCATTTCCTTGTGAGGGATGTGGCTTCACCTGGCTCAGATATCAGGGTTGGGTCCATTATAAGTCAGTGCAGCTGGGAAACCTGCACAGAATCCTGGTACTGGGAAGAAACTACGCTTTTCTAGACAAACAAGGTGAGCAGTCTAATATGAAAACAACATCATTTTACAGCATCTAATGTTTAACGGCAATCCTTTAAAATCTAAACTCTTTAATGATGCAAAACGGTACAATTTTAGTTTTTTCTTTGAAATGCCGACCTTCACATGTTGGGTTTCCGAGTAAATTTGACATAGTGATTATTGCAGTTTTACTGCATGCGCTGGAGTGACCGGAATAAAATTCGAACACCGGTCAATATTCATTAATGATTTACTAAAGATAAATTAAGATTAATGTGTTCATGAACAAAGCTTGCATTCAGTTTTGTCTTTATAGTTTTTTTCTCATAAAATGTGTAGGTTTGTCTTTGTTTCATCAGAGATGATGAAATTATATTTTTTACAGCATCCGTCGTAATTTTAACTGCTTTTTGACAACACAAAGAGCTTTCTTAATATGTTACTGATATAGGGTCAAGGCCGGAGAAATGAGGATAAGAAAACGCGCCTTCTGTGCTGATAAGGTTTATGGAGGCTCTCATGAGAGCATCTATTGTGTGGGCATGTATTTGTGAGTGTATCTGGTGAAGCGGTTCATGATTTTCTGTCTCATTTGACAGCAGAGACACTGGGTAATCATGCGGTTCAGCATCCTCTTCTTCATCGTCCTTCTGGGATTCCTCTACCTCACACTGGCACAAGGTAAAAAAACCACAAGTTATGATTGTATTACAAACAATCAGGCTCTTTTACACCAAAAACACTTTTGCAATGTTGAAGTTTAAGAAAATATACTGGAACACATTGCACAATAGTTGATTTTTGATAGCATCGTTTAGTTTGCACGTGAGATTCAGAAAAACAACAAATTCATGCATTTTTAAATTTCAAAATCAAATGTCAAGGGTGTACTTTGCCTATTCAAATTATTGCTAAAGAGACAAATGAATTCCAATGAATTGATTTAATGATGCAGCAATTCACGTTACATTGCATTATTTTAAATGTTAAATAAAATCACTCAAGTTTGGTAAACATTTCCTGTTTTTGTCATATCCATACCATTTGTTTGCATATTATTTCAATTATATTTAATTGTCCTTGGTATATATTATTATATTAAAGTATATTTTTACAGCATCTGTCATAATTTTTCATATTGCATATAAGATAGTGTGTCTTTTTGGAAACAGTAATTAACAAAAGGAAATGATTATATTACTTCCATTTATCCTCTTCAGTGTTGAAAACTAACGCAAATAATTAATTGAGAAAATATCAAAGAAATAATAAAAATGGTAAAAGTACTGAAGACAGTGTGTCCACCTTATCATGTTCCTCTAATTAAGTTCTAAAAAGAAGTCGTTAAACATTTTGTGTTTTCTCTGCAGTATATGTGCGCACTTTGACTAGTTATTGAATTCAGTTTCACTTCTAATGGCTCTGCTAGCAGTTCTCATATAATAAGCACCTGTGTTGTCTTTCCACCCCTTCCTTGTTTGCCACTATTTATGGTTTTATGAGACATTCATCCATAAAATCATCCATCTGTAATTGCCTGTATAAAATAGTTATGTTATGATTCATTGATGCATGTGTTTTTTATGCCACTGATGTGCACGTATGTCTGTCTGTAGGCTCGTATGAAGACTGCTGTCTGCAGTATGTCAGGAAAATTAAACCGTCCATTAGGAACAAAGTGATCAGCTACAGAAAACAAGAGATGGACGGAGGCTGCAACATCCCAGCTGTTGTGTAAGAAACTTATATATGTTAGTAAATATAAAGGCTATATGAAAATAAATAAATCTGCATTGAATGAAATATCAAAAAGATTAACAGTACAGTATTCATTTTTTTATAGCCTCATTTACTCATATTTATGTATATACTGTATGTACATGTATGGTTGGGTCTTAATGTTTTCCGTAAGTGAAGTGAGTGCATAAATTGTTTAGACATGTGACGTGACACACAGTGAAGTGATGCAATAAAATGCATTGCACTGCAGTGAACTGCAGGAGAGAGATCGGTCTTTGTGATTGCCTATTTTAAACCTCATAATTAATAATGTTTAATGCAATTGTCTCCCCACAGCTTCACATTGAAACGTGGCCGTATGATGTGCACTGACCCCAGAGAGAAATGGGTCCATGAACTCATGAGGCGGGTGGACATACTGACAGAAAGCTCATTTATGAAGAAGAAGGTGTGTATATTTTGAAATGTAACTATTTCACTATTAACTATTTGAATTTAATTTTAAGCATTTATAATCTATTGACTTAAATATTTATTATCATTAATTATCATAATATTAATTATAAGAAATGATCATTAATTAAAACCATAATCTCAAAATAAAAAAGTAAAAATAAAAAAATAAACATTAACTGAAATAAATTAAAATATGTAAACAGTTAAACCTATTTTTATTTCAGCTAGTTGTCAGAGCAACATTTCATATTTTTAATCAGTTCAAGTTGAAGTACTACTAAAACTAAACTAAAACGAATAAATACTAACTGATGAATAGTTTTATTAAAAAGTAAAAAAGTAACAAAATTACTAAAACTACAACTGAAATTAAAATGAAAACAATAGATGTAAATAAAATCTAATTCAAAATACTCGTATATCAGATCATGCCTGCAGTGTGACAAAGGAATTTTATTTTAATGTTTTCCTTAATATCAATTAATAATAGGCTAAACCATAAACGTGTGATAATTATAAAATAATAATTTCGTCAAAAGACGCTATTTTAAACGTGAATCTGTTATTAAATCACTTATTTTTGTTTTTTGATGTACAGAATTCACGGGGTTAAGCAAGCCAGTGGCGGCCGAGAGAGGACTAGAGGGAAAACAGCTCGAGTATCTCGGCCAATCACGTTCTTTCTTTGAGTTCTGGCTCTCCGAGCGCACATTTCAGCATGGATTGACTGATGTTCTCAGTACTTCCTGTGTTCTGCCCTGTGCTCTATCTGGTATCAGGTGGCATTTCCTGTTTCCAGACTTTTGTCGCTTCACTGACGGACTGCTGGTTAAATGCTCCGAATGGGAGATGGCCATTATTTTCCCTCTCCACGTGCTGCTGTTGTCATCACTTCCAAGGTCTGTGTAAAACCTTGCGAGCTGCCTGCTTAAAAGCCCAAAAGTATTCTTCGGTTTAGTGCATGCGCACAGCCGAACACAGCCTTTATTGGATAACACGCGTAAATGAGGGCACTTGGCGCATGCGCACTACAAAGATTTATCCTTGTCCAGTGTCTGAACTTTTCTCTCGAAAGTTATGAGCAATAAAAATATCTTTGTACTCCTTTAAGCTATAATCTCGGGTGTATTTTAGTCTCCTCACACAAGCACTGACCCGGGGTCTTTTGTTTTTGCCATCTTCAGCAGTCAGTCTCCTCCGTTTCTTTTCCGACTGTGAAACAAAGGGCCGGTTCAGTTTTGCCACCTTGTGGAGAAACTGATTACTGCAAAAAAGAAATAAAACGTGCATACAGTACGAGTGTACTGTGCTGATGACAAAATTACCCAAAAAAGCGCCTATGAAGTAAAAAGTGACTCTGCATAGGAATCAATCAGTGCTCAATTAGCTAGTGTTCTTCATGTAATCTGCATTTAATACATTTAAATTGCTTTCTTTTCAGTATTTAATAAAATGTACATTTAAATTTCTTCTGCTTTGTCCGCTATATCGCAATGCATGCAATGCTGCTTGAACATACTGACTAGGCAGCTCACTAGGTTTTGGAACAGAGCTCATGTGTATAGTGTTACCTTGAGGGTCGTATTAAGCTACTGTATTATCAACTTTCACTTTGATTTACCGCTTTTGCCCCACAGTATCAATAAACAGTCAGTGTGATAAAAATAGTATTAGTCGTAAATGTGGGTGGGAAGGTTTTGCAAGCAAAGCAGATAATCCTTCTATTCCCTTATGTGTTTATTATACTGCTGACGCAACGCCAAGTGATTTTTGAGTTTGTATGATATTATAATGCTTTGTAAATTATGATTTGTTATTTTGCTTAATGCAGTGAGCTTAACAAGTGATTATTTTATAGTTATTGATAGAATGAATATTCATATATCTCTTTTCATAAATGCATATTTTCCATTTGATATGTTTGGTAAAGTTTTTTTTCTTCTTCAATTTAAGTGGAACTACTGTTTTTTACTTTAATGTTCACACTTGATCCAGTGAGAATGTATCTTTATAGAGGAAGTGATGCAAGTTTTATCGTTCGGCTGTTTTGAAACTGGATCATAAGCTCTTTGGGTTCTTTACACTGCAGATATTTTCTTGTATATCAAAAATAAAATGTTTTGAAAATAACTGGATTTATTCTTTTTAAGTGATGCATGCATGTATCAGAGGTTTCTGCTACAATCCCTATTCGACGATAAGACAAATAAGTCAATAGTTATCATACTGACAGTATGGAGCTATAAAATTAATGTAGAACAGTTGATTTTAGAAGAATTTGATGAGATTTTTTGAGCTCATACGAAGATCTCAGAATTTTGATTGCAGACTTTAGTATCTTGCAGTTACATGTTTTAAGACACATGACAGTATAGTAAACAAATCTGACAGTCTTAATCCATTTCAGATTATATTTAATATAGTTTTTACGGTGTTGTAACCTACTTTCACTTTCCTGTGAAACAGAAGAGCTGTTGCGCAATAAAACAGGGTCAATAAAAAGCCAGAGAATTATAGCCTATGGCTCTTGTGAAACAGACTGTTAAATTTACTTTCTAATGGTTAAATTTTACATGAAAGTACTGTGCTGGCACCAAGGTACAATGAGGGTATCAGATAGTACTTTGAGAGTACTCAAAGTACCAGTCACAAATAACCTTTCCTAAAAGAAAAAAAAAAAAAAAAAGAAATTTTTGACAAACGTTTCTGCTACAATCCCTATTCGACGATAAGACAAATAAGTCAATAGTTATCATACTGACAGTATGGAGCTATAAAATTAATGTAGAACAGTTGATTTTAGAAGAATTTGATGAGATTTTTTGAGCTCATACGAAGATCTCAGAATTTTGATTGCAGACTTTAGTATCTTGCAGTTACATGTTTTAAGACACATGACAGTATAGTAAACAAATCTGACAGTCTTAATCCATTTCAGATTATATTTAATATAGTTTTTACGGTGTTGTAACCTACTTTCACTTTCCTGTGAAACAGAAGAGCTGTTGCGCAATAAAACAGGGTCAATAAAAAGCCAGAGAATTATAGCCTATGGCTCTTGTGAAACAGACTGTTAAATTTACTTTCTAATGGTTAAATTTTACATGAAAGTACTGTGCTGGCACCAAGGTACAATGAGGGTATCAGATAGTACTTTGAGAGTACTCAAAGTACCAGTCACAAATAACCTTTCCTAAAAGAAAAAAAAAAAAAAAAAGTATTTTTGACAAACATACAAAGTGCCACAGTATTCTACCCAAAGGTTCTACTATGGCAAATCTCCAAAAACATAGTGCCATGCTATTGTTTTCTTAGTGAAGGATGTGCCAAACTCTACAATGCAAGCATCACTATCTTGTCACAGCTAATGGCGAACGCTTTAGACACGCTGTTTGAATATCTGCGGGTTCCAGCATGCTGCTGTCATCCTGGAGTTCTCATTTCACGTGTAATGTGTGAAGTCCCATTTCTGCACCTTTACGGCATTTTTCCTTTCTCTTCCTCGCTGGTGGTGCAGGAGGCCGAGGCATGTCTGCTCAGATAGCATCTCAGCGAGATGTGCCTTCAGAAATTGGCTTCCTTCCTGATAAATTGTTTTTCAGTTGCTACAGTTCATTCTGCCTTTGAGGCAAAAACTATCCTGCAGCAAGGTTGGATTTCTGTGCTTCAAATGAGAAATGTGGAGGCCGTAAAAATATAATGTACCCTGGTAATGATGTGACTGAGTGAGGAAAACATATTTTTTATCTTTCCCTGCGTGAGAAGCACAAAGCCTGAGGACTGAAGCATTACACACAAGTCAATCTTTACTTTTTAGCTGGTTTTAGTACTTTTCTAGTTCAGTTCACAAACAAATGACTCTCATGAGCCAGCTCTTTTTAGTGAGTCAAAAACATTGAGTAATAGTGTAGGTCAATTCACGAACAAATGACTCTGAATCTGAATCGTTCAAAAATTCAAAGTTCCGGTTTGACGAGCTCCTTCACGAACCACTCGTTTACTAAAAGAACTAGAGAGAGTACATGAGAGTTGGTTACTTACTGAATCATCAGCTGATTCACTTAAAGAACTGCAATTGATCGTAACTTTCACCGATGTCCGTACTGAAAGCAAGAACTTTTAATCTCTAAACGATTTCATTGCCTTCAGAACACCAAAAGTTCTGTCCTTCTTAGGTGTAAACTGACCACTTTTTCAAAAGTCTGCTGGGCAAAAAGGGATTGCTACAAAGAAATATACAATAATGTAATATGATGCCTAAAATGTGTGCATTTGAATATTGAATACATGTACCTTTTCAAAAATTATCCATGGTTTTATAATAGTAAAATTCTAGTAACCTTTTTTGTTTTTGGCAGATTGATTACCATTTGTATAACCACAGTTTTACTACAAGTACAATGGTTAAACTACGGTTAGTGTAGCAAAACCATGGTTAATTTGTGGTTACCATGGTTTAACTATTGAAACCATGTTTTTGGTTTTATTTGTAGTAAAACCATGGTTAATTTTAAGGGAAGGGAAGTTGCCCTCGGAAAAAAGTTTAAGGGGGACCATTACGGACTAAATATCTAAACAATTCAAATAAACAAATTCAAACTATTCAATTGGCAAACAGACTTACTTAACGCATCTTAAGGAAAGGACTCAAAGAACATGATTGGGTGTCCATTCAAACACCCACACCTCACCAATGCAAAAGGGACAAAGGAAGGAAGTAAGGTCTATTTATAGACCTTAACCAGGGGAATATGGGTAATGTAGTGCACCATATATGGAAATGCAGTTTACTAGGAATTGTGGGAAATGTAGTACAAAGAAAAAATAAGACAAATTAGAAACAAATGAGTCAAATTCACAACATATATATATATATATATATATATTGGTATCATTTGTAGTAAAAGCATGGTTAATTTCCATAAGTGTAGGAGAAAGTATTATTCTATACTATCCTCCTTTAAGTATCCTGCCTAACTCTGCAGGTGATCGGGCCCTCGGGTGAATATTATCATCAGGGATTAATGCATAAAAAAACCAATTCAGGTGCACAATAAGCTCATCCTTTCAGAGCTAGTAATGCAAAATATTAGGAAAGCACACAGTGTCCAAATATGTGGGTCAGGTTATATATAGAGGCCACAAATGTAAAAACAACATTCAATGCTCATTTTGCCTAAGGAACCACAACTCCATACTTCTCCATTGTTACTTTAATCCGAGACAACTGTTATCGTTGCTATTGGTGGTTTCAGGAGCGCTTGCATAGCTTAGAGGGATTCGATTTCCTCTTCAAAGAGGTTTTATTTAAGGCGAATCAGTCCTGAACATGTTGTAACTCAGTGCAGGAATACACAAGCACACTTTACCTCATGCCAACTATGAGGAACATGATTAGTCTCTGAGGTTGGTGAAACATTTTGGATGAAAGGGCCCCATAAAGAGACACACAAAAATAATTTCTCTGAACACCTTTTTAGCCCAAACAATACTTTCTGAACATAGTGAGGCTTTGACATACTAGTAAAGTAAAGTGTTGCTATTGCAGTGAGCCATTCACTCTTTTGACGTGGTACGTTGATCGTGCTTAAGTTATTTTCAGGTCTTACAAGAAATGTTTATTTTATATTGCACGCATACATACACTGCATTTCCATAGTTTATACAGCTGCAAGGTCATGGGTTTGATAATGCATGAAATGCTAAGCTGTATACCTTGAATGCAATATAAGTTGCTTTGAATAAAAGCATCTGGCAAATGCATAAATGTAATTGCATTCAAGGTATGCATTTGATCAGTTCAAGCACCATTTCAGCTCAAATCTTTATATACAAAGCTCATTATTTTTTAACTTTGCAATTGCACAATACTTTTAGTCCTAACATACTTTACTGTATACACAATAAATACATTAATGCATCAATTATTAGATTTATGCATTAAATAAAACAGAGTCATTGTCAATTTTGATATATGCTGTATTGTTTCAGTTAATGTACACCCTTAAAAATAATGGTGCTTCATGATGCCATAGAAGAACCTTTTTTGTCTAAATGGTTCCATAAAGAACCTTTAACATCTGAAGAACCTTTCTGTTTCACAAAAGGTTCTTTGTGGCGAAAGAAGGTTCTTCAGATTATATAAAGCTAAGAAAGAGATGGTTCTTTAAAGAACCTTTGACTGAATGCTTCTTCGCTGAATCGAAAATTTTAAGCACCTTTATTTTTAAGAGTGTATTTAGTGATATGATTGTGTTTTGTAATCAGGAAATATGACTGGATTTTCATTTTCCATGAAAAGGAAACTCAGAGCATCATATGCAAACAGAAAGAAGATGCAACCCCTGACTATATAGACTTTTAAACACAATACAGTATATGACAAATTTTTACACAATAAAAACTGCATTGCATATTTTTTATAGCTAAAATATACATATTTGCTGTTTTGTTATGTATACATATATATACATATAAAAAACAACGTATCTGGGGAACTCCAAGATCTGCGATTGCAATCTCAATGCCAAAAATGTGCTGTAGCTAAAACATGATAAAAGCAGTTGCTTTGGGGAACAGTTTGGTAAGCTTAAGACAAGACGTATAATCCTCTGATAATAATGAAAATCCTTTAATTTCATACCTGTTTGCAGGTCATAATGAACCGATTTTGCAGCAGAAATATAATCATTGACTCCATAATGATTACAATAATTTTTTGAACACATTTGACAGCATCTCCAGGGTTCATGAAGCAGGTTTCAGCATGTACCATATAGAATGCAATGATCTTATTTTGTTCTGATTTCTATGTGAATACGCTCTTAAAAACAAAGGTGCTTAAAAAGTTCTTCACAGCGATGCCATAGAAGAACCATTTTTGGTTCCACAAAGAACCATTCAGTCAAAGGTTCTTTACAGAACCATGTCTTTCTTACCTTTTTATAATCTGAAGAACCTTCTTTCGCCACAAAGAACCTTTTGTCAAACAGAAAGGTTCTTCAGATGTTAAAGGTTCTTTATGGAACCTTTTAGACAAATAGGTTCATCTATGGCATCGTGAAGCACCTTTTATTTTTAAGAGTGTATGTTGTAAAATGTAATTTATTCCTGTGATGCGCAGCTGAATTTTCAGCATCATTACTCCAGTCTTCAGTGTCACATGATCTTCAGAAATCATTCTAATATGCTGATTTGCTGCTCAAGAAACATTTCTGATTATTATCAATGTTGAGAACAGTTGTGCTGTTTATTTTCAGGATTCTTCGGGATGAATAGAAAGTTCAAAAGAACAGCATTTATTTGAAATAGAATCTTTTGTAACATTATAAATGCTTTTACTGTCACTTTCGATCACTTTAATGCATCCTTGCGGAATAAAAGTCTGTTATTTCCTTCCCAAACTTGCTGATAAAGAAATGACACAGAGCTTTTGGCGTGTTTAAACACAGGGCAAGGAACATGCTGTTTCTGTGGAAGATCTGCGCGTCTGGATCTTTAGTTGCTCAATAAATTGTATAAATGTCAAGCTGCAGATCAGATCTGGATGTGTTTCTTTATAGTATCACTGCAGGGCTCCGCTGATCAAACAGTAGAGAGGGCGAGCGTGACTCATGTGTTTTCATACTTCTACATGCCTTGTATTTTTCATAAAATTACAGTGAATCAAAATGAAAAGAATTTGGCACAGAGTTCAGTTGTATTATGATTAATCAAAAGCAGGTGTGAAAGTCTTGATAGGATGACATTAACTGCTTCATCACAGCGTTTCATGTTAATGACAGCAATCACACTGAATCTGTTTTGTCAACACGTGAACTATTAAAACCCATAAATTGTGCCTGACGGGCCATTCAGGTGCCACTCATGTGTCCCTGAAATACATGGGTGCAAAATGAGTTCAAGAATGAATGCCTAATGTCAGTTTATGCTTACTATGCTACTATAGAAATCACGTTCACTTTCTTGGTTATATTTTTAAACATTTCACTTTCTTTCTCCTAAAAGATGCTTTTTGACCTGTATACTTTTCTGTATAAAATGCACATTTTGATGAAAATTAAATTAATAAACATTAAATAAACATTTTGTCTCTGCTTTTTATCTTATGTCTGATGTTTGTAAATAGGGAGCATCTTGAAACATCCACCTGTTATAGTTTTGTATAGTAAAAAACTACAAGATATATTAAAAATATCATCATTAAGTAAGGGATAATGTACATCCAGCCGGTTGTTATCTCAGAATAAACCCCGACAGGGTGATCAGGACCCTGACGCGAAGCGGAGGAGTCTTGTATCAGCCTGAAGGTGTTTATTCTGAGATAACAACCGGCTGGATGTACATTATCCCGCTTATTACGTGGCTAAAAAGATTTGTTTTTACCATATATGTTGAAATTAATGCTGAAGTCTTCCATTGTAACACGCGGTGGTTAAGTGTTTTCAGTCACAAGACGGCGCCAGACAGTCAACGATAGCGGAGTGACTCGTTAAGCATATAAGTAGTACCGGTCAAGATAACTGGTAGTACCCGGATGAGCGGTGTGTTATTCAATTTAGCGGTTGTTATCTGGGAATAACATACCGCTGGATGGCGCGATTGACCAATCAGAATCACGTATTCCACAGAGCCATGTAATACATTCTAATAAACACCTCAAGTGTCTTGCCATTGAATATGAGGATTTTAATGTCATGTTAAACTGAAAAAAAGAAATAAATAAAAATCACTTTTTTGAAGGCAAAATATATATTTTGTTTCATGAAATACTTTTGCGGATCAAGTCAGACCATTATAGTATTTAATATTTTGACTATGATATTTATGTTTATTATTAAAATGTTCTGTCCAATGTATACAATAGAAATAATTGATTGCAGATGCAACACACGTTATATCAGCTCTCCTTCTCTGCATTTACATCAAACAGTCTCTGGCGCCCTCTGCTGCTCATCAGTGGAGAAACACCAGGTTAAACTGAGTAGTGATGCTGTGGTGGTGTGCTGATTAGAGAAACGAAGCTTTTCGAAGCTCCGACTCAATTGAACCGATTGCTTCGTAAAATGATTCACTGTAGGCGGCACCTGCTGGTCAAAACGCTGTAAATGCCTTTTTTGATTAAACACGCATAACTAGCCTATCAAAATGAGTTAATAAAAAATGAACCTACACTATAAAACTTGTAAACATCTAATAGGTAAAACTATTGGATGCTCGTTCATGGGTTCACCAAAACAATTTCGCATTACAAGACTGCATCATTAGAATCTGTAGGCAAGTAGGCCCACCTTCAGTACTAAAAATAAACTAAAAGAACCTTTTACTTTGTACAGTTTGATTTACCACTTTCTGCAGGGCAGAAAGAGGTAACTCAATGTTTATTATAGACAGCTTTTATTATTAAACTGAAAGAGAGATTATTTGATTTTCATTGATGAGATGGAATATCTACTTATAGACCTCATATTCATAAATATTTTGTTTCTTATAGAGATTTTTGACATTGTGATTGTGCTGTAGGCTACAGTAAGTTGTTTACCAGTCTTTTCAATAAACTTAAACACTTCTTCGCAATTGCAGTTATCTCTTGTGTTTTCGGCTTAATCCTGCATATTTCTCATATTTATGGCATAATGTCCTACTATTTTGGAATAATCATTTGCAATACACTTCGTAACCCTGTAGATGTAGGCAATAATTATAAACATTTATGATGCATCCTTATAACATGCATCAGGTGCTGGACACGTGAGTCATGTGATAGTTTTAGTTGATTTAAAGCCGCAGTCCGTAACTTTTTTTGTGTTCAAAATTTACTAAATGTATATATGTACACCATGAATCCATTTTCCAAACCGTGTTTTTGGCTTGTCCTGAATCACTACGGTACACCTATAATAAGTGTTTATATTCGGACAGTACCTGCGTGATTTGCCATAGACATAAATAGAGAGAAGTAGCTCCTGCTACAATGTTCTTCCGCAAGACGCACGCAGTTCTGTTTATTAAAGGGGTCATAGGATGCGATTTCCATTTGTCCTTTCTCTTTGGAGT